GCTGTTTATGGCTGCCTCTAAACTATGATGACAAAGTTGCATAGCCATGAGAGGTCCATGTGGTCCACAAAGCCTAAAACATTTGCTATAGAAAAATCTGCCTACCCTGCACTAATATATCTACTTTGATTTCTCTACTATGGTTCTACAAACCACAATGAAACTGTACAAAGACCTGCTCATGTGTTTCTTGCCCTGTGTTTATATGTCACCTATTTCTTATAAAGCTTCAGTTTGATTCACAAAAATGCATGGAGCACATGAGCACATCCATGTACATTTCAAATAGGAAGGTAAGGACATCAGAGCAACAAGAAAATGAAAGAAGTGACATAGAAAGGAAGCCAGAAGAGACAGGGACACGTGCAGCATAAAACACTGAAATGCTCTGCATTTCCGTGGGCCAACCTGGCACACATCTGCCACCACAGCAGAAACATGATCCCTTTCCTACCTCCTGGATATTCAGGAGGATCCCAATCCATGGTGCAAAGACCTGTGTCCCATGGGTGTGTCATGAGATGTAGTGAACAAAGTCATCAACAACACCCAGATGGGGGGAGACACCCTGATGACATGTCCTGCTACACTGAAATGGGTGGGCCAACTCTATGTCCCAAAGTGTCACTTATCAGCAGCTCTTCCAAAGTGTTTCAGAATGCTGAAGTAAGTGCTTACTGTTTCATAGTTGTCCCTCAAGGTTTGTAGGAGAGTGGCTCTAGGGCTCCCCATGGATACCAAAATCTAAGGGTGCACAGGTCCAAATGGCAGAGCACTTGCAAATAAACTACTCACATCCTCTTCTGTACTTTATATCATCCCTAGATTACTAGTCACACCAATACAATGTAAATGCTATACAAATAGTTATTGTACTATATTATCGAGGGGAAAAAAAAAACAAGAAAACAAGACTGGACAGGTTCATTACAGACTTGATTTTCCTTCTCCCATCCAACATTCATGATATGTACTTGGTTGAATCCATGGATGTGGAATATGCAGAGGCAGAGAGCCAACTGCTTTTACAATCAGAGAATATTTTTTTTTAGAAAGAGACAGCGGAAGCAGTAACCATCAACAGCCTGGCGTTGGCTTTGACACAGAATCCCTCAGCCGCGTGCACCGACAGGAGGCCTGATCCACCCACTCTTGCCGTCCTTATATCCAGGACAGATAAAGCAAAGAGGCTAATCTGAGACCTGCAGCTACTGGGTCAAGGAATTCCATCACTCTGGTGACGAGGCTCCAGGTGTTGACTATAAAAAGACCTGGTGAGTGGAGAATATCGTTTGTCATTTTTTAAATAGAGCTCTATAGCTTTCTATCTAGTTCTGCGATATAAATATTTCACACTCTGGATGGCTGCTGCTCACTGCTGTATGCCCCGTGCCTAGGCCAGAGCCAGCGCAGGTGAAAAGTCAACACGGATCAGATGAGCGGTGTGCCTGCCTGAGATCGTACAGTTATTCTGGGGCTACCTTAGCAAATCCTTCCCAAGCTGGGCCTTATCCACACACCTTGGCATCCAGACTCACCTGTGACAGTTAGACAGGTGCAAAAGGAGCCCAGATGTGGAGGCCAAGCTCCTGAGCATGCGTCAAGGGAAACAAATTAAAAATTGAAAAGGGAAACTCTGAACAGCTGGGATTCTAGTCTTGCTCGGGTCCCATTGTTGCAGGGATAAACATTTGGACAGCTCAAGGCAAACACAGCTTTGGGTTCTGAACAGGCAGAGCAGCTTTCTGCTGTGCACTGGAGCTCAGCGGGAAATCCATTCCGTGTGCAGAGCAAGGCCCTGCCTCATCCTGAGGGACGGGCCTGTCCTGAGACACCGGGCAGAAAGCAAAGACCCTGCTCCCTGTGCAGAGGGGCCAGCCGCATCTAAGGGGTACCTGCAGCCCTGGCAGGACTTCCTTGAGGAACCCCAGCCATGCCAGGCCTCCTTAAAGAGCTGCTTCCACACCAAAAGGTTCAGAAAGTCAGCCATAGGGGGACCTATTTGGCTGCAATGAGGTAATGTCAAAAGGTCTCAACCAAAGAGATAGCTGGTGGCCTGGAAAAGAAAAGGCACTGTCTTCAACTAGGAAACCGTGACATAAAATAAACACCAGGCTGGGAGTACGGAGTCTGTGGACATGCAGTTGGCTCTGTCACTTGAAGCTGATACTGTTTCGTAAGTCATGGCCCTTGCTGTGCTTTGGTTTTCTCACGTATAGAAGAGGGGCTCCCGGATGAGACTGACTTGCTTCCTTGTGGTGAAGCTCTGTAGCACCACAGGGTACAGAAGGTGTGGAGCAACCACAGAGATATGGACACTGCTCTTCAAACCGAGGGTGCTATGTGCAGGGCTTGGGTGTGCCCGGTTCCTGAGAGGCTTGGGACAATGTGACTGACAGTGGAGAGACAGTGACGTGGTGGCTATGAGGCATGCTTGGCCCCGTGGATCCTATTTGCACAATAGCCATCCACCCACCTCCACTACTTGATGTCATTTCAGGTCTTGCTCTAGGTGGCCCCAGCAGCCACCCTTTCTTGTATTGTCCCTGAGGCCATAACACACTTGTCCCAGGACCTCCAAGCTCCTGCCCATTCTAGGGAAGCTTCATCCATCCAGCAGCTCCTTCTGCATAACAGCCCGTCATGGTAACTTACTCTCACACCTCACTGTCCTGCACACTTAACCCAAATTCTTCAGCCTGGCTGTGAATCCCAGCAAGCTATCTCTAACTCTCTCCCCATCTTTCTTGTTCTCAGATGCCTTTGTGTCTGTGGCCCTGGGTCACTGGAAGGCTCCACTCTGACAATGTGCCATAGTCCGTCCTCTCGCCTCCTGCTGTTTGCTCACCTAGGAAGGCACCTCTCTTTCGACTTTCAGGATCCTAACTCACATTCCTGTCCACAACTCATATCCCAATCCACAACTCACAAGCTTTTATCTTACGAGGCATACACAGCTTCCGGCCTACCAAGCAGTCCCACTCCTGTTCTCAAGTTCTAATGTCTGTATTTTCTGGTGTTCTCTGGACCATCAAGTGCATGCTCTGTTCATCCTCCTGCAGCTTCCGTGTCACAAATGGATGCACTGCTATCTTCCCCACATGCAGGCCCTACACACTCCCTCAAGAACATCCGTATGTGGTGCACTCAAACAAGGCTCAGTCCTTGTTTTCCACAGCACTATAAAGAACACTTGACCTGGGGCTGGTATTCAGTACCCCCTGGCTGATGCTGGTGAAGACAGAGCTGTCAATGGCAGCCACATATGACGAAGTGTCACATTTGGACAACCAAGCTACCAGTAGGTGCCTACTATGACCATCATGCATAGAATACATGACCTCTATTCTGGAGACCCAAATCCAGAATCCAACCTCTTTATGTCCCCAGTGCAGAATTCACTGACACTCAAGCACAGAAGAGCAATGGAGACTGTACAAAAGAATCAGAAGGGAACAGGGGTGGTGGTGGTCACACAGCACAGCGCAGCCCACAGCAAGCCACTGGCCAGCAGACACAGAATCTCCTGGGTCTCAGGGGACTAAATTGTCTCACTCTCTTCCACCAAGCAGCAAGTGACCTCACGAGCTTTCTTCTCCTCCTCCAAAACTCCAACTTTCCATTTCCCCTCTTTCTATATTGCCCTCAGCTGACATCCACTATGGCTTCATAGCCAGACTCTTCAGAAGAGTCGGCTCCTAATGCATCCCTCAGCTCACAGCGGTCCATCCCCCTGGAAGGTAGCCTGACGTGCACCTTTGCTTCCCCAAGCAGGACCTGACTCACTCCCCCAGACAGTGTGAGATGTTTACACCAAACACCACACAGAATTCTCCCCAGCGAGAACTTTCTTGCAGTGAAATTTTCCCCACCCACCTTCTTCTACAATCACCTCCTCGCTGAGTTTCTGCCAAGAACTGTTGAGGTAATAACATCTATTTTCCAGAGTCTCTGCTTAATCCCTGATCCACTCAGCCATTAGGAGGCCCCTGCTCATTGAAAGAGCCAGGTGACGCCTGCCTGACCCTTGCTGCAGGCCAAGGAAGGGCAGCTCATACAAAAGAGCTTCCGGCGTCACAGTGAGAAGTCACCCGGATGCATCTTCCTTCACAGGAAGTGCCCAGGTCCAAGCAGACTCAAGTAAGCCAATGGGCAGGGCTGCCATGGAGGTGTGGGGGTTGCCCACTTGTGACAGGAACATGGATCCTGGCAGGTGTGACCAGGATCACATGCACCCAAGACTACACCAGTCTTTGCACTGAAAAAGCATGTCCAGGCTCTGATCAGTCCCAGGCCTGTCCCACGCATGGTTCTTGTCCCAAGCCAGGGGTTCACGAGGCCAGTCAGTGAACCCAAGCTCTGTTCAAACACATCGGAGAGAAGAACAAAATCCGTCCAGAAGAGGTGGTACGAGCTTTAGCTGCAGATAGCCCAGGTGACACGTCAGCAGAAATAAGGACACCTGAGCAATGCTTGGACCCAGGGCTCTGCAGCCATGGAAGCTGCCGATGGCTTCAGCACTAGCATGACAAGGAGCACGCACCAGGGCAGGATTCAGCTCACACAGTGCAGACAGGATGCTGCCCCAAGAGGGGCCCTCTGCCTGGCCACCAGACGACAGCAGTGACATTCCCAGAATGTCACCAAGCACCTGCAGAGAACACCTGGATCCCAGGGCTGTGAGGCCCTTGACAGGTTCTAGTAGATGCTTCCTTGTCCTTCTTTGCTCCACCATAATCCAGCTCTGCCCCGTATGTGTGCGTGCATGTGCTTGCATCAGTCTTGCTGATAGGGAAAGCTAGGCACACATTCCCTGTAGATCACAATCCAGCCCTTTGTATCTCTAACCACCAGCTTAGATTTGCCCAAAGAACCCTGCACTGCGCAAGCACCAGGCACAGCGCTTGCTGCTTGGGCCTGAAGACACAGAACCGCACCCCTCACGGGAAGCCATTTTGCACACATGCGCCTGCTCATGCACTCAGGGGCCGGGGACTCACCAGGACTCTGCCAGTCAGCGTCTGGGCAGATATCATCACACCTGCCCAGTCCTTCACGGAGGTCATCCAGCCGACCTCGGCTGCCACCGCCTCCTCCTTCTCGTCCACTGGCTTGAGAGTGCCATCTGCCTGGCTCGAGCCATTGTTAATCTTCTGGGCCTCCTGGCAACAGAGAAGAGAAGAGTTGAGACCTGGGGAACAACTGGATTTAAATGACACACCTACCCATGAAGGATCCAAGCCTGAAGCGGTCATCAGTGGAGGCAGAAACAAGCTGAAATGTACAGGGGAAGGGAGGAAAGTGGGCTATGGCTTTGACATTTTTAATTTGTTGAAGATGGATGATATCATTTTCCGCCCATTTTAAAGAAAGAGCCCCAGAGTTGAGGAGGGAAGGTAAACTGCCCAGTGTTACCAAGTAGTTAGAAAGGGCAAATGATGGTCCCAGGTTGGTTCCAACAACAGAAACAGGTCAATTAATCGATCTGGTCTATCCCTCGACGACGATTGGGCCAGGGATTATCACGTGACCCCCACTGACCCAATAAGACGCAAGCCTGGGACAAGAGAAGTAATTCTTCTGAGAGAAGAAACCCACCACAGAAGAAAGAAGTGACTGAGCAGTGGTGAACAGTCCCTTGAACACCGGGATCCGACTGTACCTGAAATCCACAATAGATCTTCTTAGTTACAGAAGGTGATAAATTTCCCTTCATAGCTTCAAATCCACTTGTGGAAATCAGGCTGAGTCTATTGGGTAACAGAATCCCCCATGGGACCCAAAATGGTACATCTGTGCATCCGGTGAGCTCTCTGACTAGAATACTCTTCTCCTCCCACACAGGCTCGTTTATGTGTCTCACCTTTTTAATAAAATCTTTGTGAGCTGCTCTTTTACAAGTGCAATGCTTTCCTTCCTTCCAATAGCACTTTTCTGCTTTATTTCTTTCTCTTTTTCTTAGTTTTATTCCATCTTTTATTTTTTTATTTTGAAGAAAAGAAAAATAAACAATGAAAGTTGTATAAAATTTTAAAACAAGATTGTAGGATAGCCGGGTGTGGCGGCGCACGCCTGTAATCCCAGCACTTGGGAGGCTGAAGCAGGAGGACTGTTGCGAGTTCAAGGCTAGCCAGCCTGAACTACACAGCAAGATCCTGTCTCAGTAACACACACACACAAAAAAAAGATTGTAGGAGAGCAACAATGTTCAGTACATTGCGCATTGTTATCCTCAAAGTAGTTGCTTATAATTTCTTCTGTAGCACTTCAAACCTGTAAGATACTCTGTAACCCACTTATTGTTTCATTTACTGCATGTTTCTCCTACCCCTGTGGCCAAATCAGTCCCAGCACATGGCTGGCTCAATAAGCACTGGTGAGTGGTTACAAAGGGTTCCAAGTGCCAGCCCGGCATCGGCCACAGAGCCTGGGCAGACGGCTGCCAGGAAAAATACAGGACACCTAGTTAAAATTTTTTTTTTCACCTAGTTAAATTTGACTTTCAGAGAAACAACAATTTATTCTAGTGTAAGAATGTCCCAGATAATGCATGGCATGTACTTATACTGAAAACTTTTCCATTATTTATTTGGCTGTAAATTTAACCGACCTGATAGTCAACTGTCTACTGAGATTTTTACTGCAGGTGAAGATGGATGAAAAGTTGCCAGTGAATTATGTTTATCGTTTAAAATCCGGGAATTCATGTCCAAAGCAGACCCTCACTGGGGACTGTTGTGCCCTGGAGTGAGTGGGGAAATCGAAGGCGGAAGTGAAAACCTTGGTGTGCAGTGGGTGGGGGTGAGGCAGTGGGGGATAGATGGACACAGGAGTCCGGTGCTTTGGACATATGTCTAGGTCAGGCCTTGGGGCTGGGCCGGGCTGGGCAGGAAGCTGCTCCTGTTACCTGTTCCTCACCCTGTGGCCACACTGCCTTGGGGAGGTTGGGGACAAGAGAAGCTTCACCTGTAGCAAGGATGTGAATATTTTCTTCCCACATGTGCTACGCCCCATGCAGCTAGAAAAACCCAGTGCATTCCAGGATGGAAAGTCACAGGGTAGGCATCACAGGGCCACCTGTGGACAGGTGTGTCACCTGCTGCCCAAGCTCCCAGGCCAATTTCAGTGGCCTGATAGGGCTTGCCCTGGTCCCTGCACCTCAGCTGCCTGAGACTCTGAACAGGTAGGTCTCCAGAGGGAGGTAGAGGCCCTGATCCAAGGGGAGTTGTGATAACCAAAGCAGCAGGTTCCCAGAGAAAATCTTTCCCTCCTGCCACGGTGGGGGCTCCTGATAAGGTGGGGACAATACTACCTTCTCTCAGGGGCCATCAAGAGTAAGCAGGGCCTACCCCAGAACCTGCAGTTCTACTCAGTGCCTGGACATGGCCCATCTGCCGGCCAGGGCACCACATGTGGGAGCCTTCGCATGCTGACCCTGATGCTCAGCTGGGAGCCCTGAAATGCAACATGGATCTTAACCTCCAGCACGCTCTTGGCCTCTTCCTTCCCTCAGGACCACCTACTTCTTTCAGAAGTGGACAATGGGGGAAGACTAGGGCCAGGAGAAGCCCATTGAACCAAAAGCTCCTGTGTCCTTCTTCGCAATGTCTGCCTGGGATACTTCAAAACTGGTCCCCAGCTGCCACCAGGGGACCTGGACAATAAACTCCCTGTTCCTAAAGACTCAGGCTCCACCCAGCAGCCCCCAGAGGAGAGAAATGAGCATGGGAAAAGTTGGGAGGCAGGGGCCCCTGCAGCCACAAGGTTTTAATGCATCAGTAATTCACAGCACAAGAGGTATATGGCAGATAATGCTATTTTGCCAGCCCTCTTACCTATTGTTTTACAAAGCATTCATTATTTTAATTACTTTATGATAGGCAAGGAAAAACACAGACTAAAAGGAGATAATGCTCTTGTTATTATTTGCTCACACTAGATGTTGCGAGTTTAATTACCATGTGGAGGAGGCAGGGCTGGGGAGGGGCTGGGGAGCAGAGCAAGAGCTGCACAGAGCCCACTGCCAGCTGCCTGGTTAGTCCAGGACCCTCCAACTGGAGGAAGGCACCCCTCTCCACCACTGACTCTGCTTGATCCTGAGCACCCCTCAGCAGATTTTATAATCCCAGGCACCAGAGAAAAGGGGGAAGAGGCCTGCAAGGGTTAAGTAGCCTTGCTGGGGGACACACAGGAGGTAAAGGTGGCTGAGGCAGATCCTGTTGGAATAGTGACAGCCACCAGAGTTCAGAATGAAACATTGTCTTGGCATTACCTTACTGAAACCTTAGACTATCTTACTGAAACCATAGACTGTGGAATTAGCCCCATTTTACAGATTGGGTGGCCAACAGCAGGTGTCTCAGAGCACAGTGTGGAATCTGAAAGCTTGGGCTAGAGGCATGGAATCCACCAGTGCTTAGGTCTCTGGGTGCTGACCAACTAGCTGGCTCCTGTGGGCATGGTGACTCAGGCACCTTGGCCTCCTCTCTGCAAAGTGGGAGAAACATACACCCCTGGTAGGATGGGTGCCTCCCAGGGTGTCCAGGGAAAGCTGCACGGCTTCCATGATTGGGCCCCAGGAGGGATGCTGACCCAGAGGGAGCTCAAGGTGAGCAAGCGCAGAGCAGAGGACAGGCAGAGTCGCTACTCAAGGCTGCTGCTCCACCTTATGGTTGGGATCTGGTCCCCAGTGCAGCAGTGTTCAGAGGTGGGGCCCTTGGAGGTGAGTGGCTCATGAGAGCTCCATCCTCATGAATGGATTAATCCATTCATGGATTCAGGGCTGAATGGACTATTGGGAAGTAGAGGTGGGGCCTATTTAGCTAGAGTGTGTAGTTAGGGGTGTACCCTTAAAGACTACATCTTGTCCCCAGCCCCTTCCCCGACTCCGTCTCTCTCTTTTGCCTGGCCACCATGAGCTGAGCAGCTTTTCTCCATCACACATGATGCTCTGTCTCCCCATAACCCGGAAACATCGCAGGCAGCTGTCTGTGCAGTTAAACCTCTGAAACCACTAGCCAAAATGAGTCCTTGCTCCTTTATGCTGATTTCTTCAGGCATTTTGTCACAGTGACGGAAAGCAAACACACCTTCCAACTTTGCAGAGGTTCCAGTAGGGACCGTGTGGCCCCACCCAGGACTGGTGGGAGCACTTCCTACACCCACGGGCCTGAATTAACAGAGCAAGAAACCCAAGTCCAGGTGCAGCTTTTCTGGCAGGGTCTGGGCCAGTTGTTTCATTCTGGAAGGCTCTATGTCCTCTTCTCTAAACAGGAGTGAGTCCTGCCTGCCTGCCCACTGGATTCCTGCAAGAACCCTAATCTGGTCACTTGGAGCAAAGAACTTCCCAGAAGCACTGACTGCTTCCCAAAGAGAGAGCCAGGCAGTGTCACTGTCCCTTGCTTCTGGGCAGGAAGCAGGCTGCTCTGGAAATAGGAGCCCCATGACCCAAAGCCAGAGGCCTCACAGAATGCGGGGCTCAGCACTCAGATCCCCACCCACCCAGTTGCGCTATGCAGGGGCCTAGTTATCCTAGGCACCCACAGGATGTTGCCAAGTCCCGTCAGAGGCCCTGTGCTGGGACACCCTCTCTGCAGGGACAAGCCACCGCCACACCTGCTCTCACCTGATCTAGATGCTCATCCCCAGCACAGCAGCCCGGACACCTGTCCAGAGCCAGGTGCCACACCTGCTCAGGGGCTCTATCAGGGATAAGGACTCAGCAGGGCCAGCCTGGAGGACAATTCTAGAGCCTCTTCCCTGCCACCCACTGAGGGCTACCCCAGAAGCTCAATATCTGTCTCAGATTTAATGACTCCTGGGTTTCTGGGAAAGGACCCCTCAGCCAGATGTGGGAAGTTGTGTCCCTCTGGGACGAAGGCTAAGCTCATGTAAATGCACATCACCTGGCTATGGGTTTTCCTCCCACTAAGGGGACAATCAGTGCTTTCACTGTCCCACTCCTTCCTGTCACCCTATGAGCTGTGCTCCCTTGTGCCCCTCCAGCCACCCTGGGATCCTGGTGTTGCCACATCACTCCAGACCCACGGCCCATCTCGAGGCTGTTGGCACGGGCTGCTTCCTGAGCCCCAGGTGTCCCCACAGCTGCTCCCTCGACTCTCAGGCCATCGTTCAAGCTCTCACCTTACCCACGAGCCCCTCC